ATATTATCAGGAACAACAAAACTTAAGGATACTTTTTCAAAATTCAAGTTCATCTTTTACTACTCCTATCTCTAAAGAGGACCTAAAAATGTCAGTAAATAAATACATTAATGTTTTCCAAATTCCAAGTATTGCAACAAATATAGCACAAAACGTCGATGAACTTAATTTATGTACACAAAATTCTGATGCAAAATTTCGAATTTTTAATATGAACATAAGGAGTATAAAACACAACATTGATTACTTAAAAATACTACTCGACCAAATATGGTACAATTTTGATCTAATAGTTTTAACTGAAACGTGGCAAGTGGTTGATATTTCTTGCTTCAATCAGCAGGGATATGACACGCTGTATAACTTTGGCACTTATAACCAAAACGATGGGGTGATAGTTTTTGTAAGAAATAAACTGCAATATAATCATGATACATTCACTTTCACCGATGGAATCAAAATTTTAAACATAATGATCCAAATTAACCATAACAAAATTGAGGTATCTGCAATTTATCGTCCGCCATGTTCAGAACCCCACGAGTTTTTAAAGAATATCGATTTTTTTTTTCAAAATCAAAATAAAGTTCATTTAAAGCAACATATTTTCTTGGGAGATGTCAATATAAATATTTTGGACGATGATCTCATCACAAATGAATACACGAATATTCTATCAAGTAACGGATTTCTGTCCTATATAAACCTACCTACAAGGTCCATAAGTGGCACATGTATAGATCACTGCTTTGTGAAAGACCTATCCAACAAAATGTATACCAATAATCCTAGAAAGCGATATTACTGACCACTTCTCCACTATTTTACTGATATCTTCAAATGAAAAACATTCTAACATCCCTACCGTTAATAACAACCAAGAAAATTACAAATTTTTTGTCGACAATTCAAAACTAATATCAAATGTCAAACAAGAATCCTGGGAACAATTATACTCTATAAATAATATAGACAAAGCAACGGGACTGTTCATAGAGAAAATAAAAAAACTAATAGATATTAGTACCAATAAAGTAATAATTAGTCACAAAGAGAAAAGCAGAAATGCCTGGATTACCAAAGGATTAATAACATCGGCAATAGAAAAAGAAAGACTATATAATGTAATGAAACTAACGCCAACTACAGAGAATACCGACTGCTACAACCAATATAAAAATAAATTTATAGAGCTTGTAAGGCAAACCAAACGAAAACATTACCTAAATAAATTGAATAATAACTTAAATGATCCTAAGCGGCTTTGGACAACTATTGATGAGATTACTGGGAAAACAAAAGTTAAAGAGTGTGTCACTGAGTTAAATACAACAGCGGGGACAGTATTAAAAAATACTCAACAGATATGCGATGAATTTGTACAATTCTTTACTGACATAGGCGAAAATTTAGCAAGTAATATACAAGCAAATGTACAAAATACTCAGCCTCCAAAAAGAACTTTGAACTCATTTATTTTGGATAAAGTCGAACAATGTGAAGTATACACCACTGTTATGTCCTTAAAAAATCGAGTCCTGGGTTCGATGGTATTAAAAGCGAGCATTTGAAAATTATAGCCGAGGACATAACAGAACCACTCACTTACCTAATCAACAAATGCTTTGAATCTGGCATATATCCCTCAATTTTAAAAAAAGGTAATATAATACCGATACATAAATCAGGAACAAAAACAGATGTTAACAACTATAGACCAATATCAATAATATCCAGTGTAGCAAAGGTTTTTGAAAAAGTTTTATCTACTAGAATGATTCGATACCTCACAAAATTCAAAATTTTAAGTGAAAATCAATATGGATTTACAGAAGGGAAGGCTACATCGGACGCAATATCTAAAATTGTAAATCAAAGACATCAGAATATTGATAACAGAATCCCTTCAATCTGCATTTTTGTTGATTTAAAGAAAGCTTTCGACACAGTTAATCACAAATTATTATTAGAAGCATTGGAGAGAATTGGTTTCAGAGGAAACGCGTACTCACTGATCGAAAGTTATTTGTCAAATCGCCCACAATCTGTGCAGATATCAGGATCATTTAGTAAAGAAATGTATATTAAGTGTGGTGTCTCACAAGGAACTGTCTTAGGTCCGCTGTTATTCAATATATATTTAAATGATATTTTCCAAATTAATTGTGTTGGCAAAATAACTAGTTTTGCAGACGATACTGCAATATTATATGAAGGCACTGACTGGTCTGATCTGAAAAATGTAATTGAAAATGATTTTATCAAAATTATTCGGTGGTTTAACAGTAGAAAAGCATTAACTACTCTAAAACACATTTTTTACCATTTGGATCTTATGCTAGACATCTGCCAAATTACACAAATTTCTCCTTCAACATTAATTATCAAAAAATGCAAATTAATAGAGTGCCCAACATAAAATACCTTGGAGTGGTCTTGGATCCTCACTTACGATGGGACATCCATGTCAATTATATTTTAAAGAAAGTTAGATTTGTATCCTACAAAATTAAATACCTTGGGAATATATTGACAGAAAAATATCTTCGAACATTATACGATGCACTGATTGAGCCTCATCTCACATATGGTATATTAGCATGGGGAGCTGCATGTTCCTCACATATCTATAATTTAGATGTTTTTCAAAAAAGTATTCTAAAAATGATATTTAAAAAACCGAAACTTTGTCCCACTGAAAAATTATACGCAGATGTTCGAATGTATGATATAAGACAGCTTTATTTCTTACACAGTATCACTCACTACCATAAATTTGTAAACACCGACCAAAAAATTAAACATAGTCATTATACCAGGTACAAAATTCGTGGCACAGTAGTTCCTCAACCGCATAAATCTATAATGCAGCGATCATATCTCTATTTAGCGCCTAAATTTTATGAAATTATACCTAAAGACTTAAAAGATTTACGTTTCGGAAATTGTTTCAAAAGAAATTTAAAAAAGTGGCTACATTCTATATCTAGGACTGAAATTCATAAACTCATAAATACGAACATCAACTAAATACATAATCTACTGTAGCTAATTTTTGTCATTTGCATTCTACAGTTTCAACTTAAATTATTGGTCCATGTACAGGCGATGCCTTCTGTTGGGCCTGTTTTGATTTTATATTTATTTAATCATATTGTTTGTTATCTTTGTACATTGAGTGAATAAATATTATTATTATTATTATTATCGAAAGCCTCGCTGTAATCAAGTAATATTAAACAAACAATTTTGCTGTTGTCGACTGAAAACATTAAATCATCGACTAGGCAAGCTAAAGCTGTTGTAGTATCATAAGATTTGCGGAAGCCGGATTGAATCTGTGGTAAAATAGATTGATTTGAAGTATATTCAGAAATTTGTTCTTCCATTGTCTTTTCTAGGACTTTTGATGATATTGGTAAAATACTGATTGAACTTAAGTTAGAGAATTGATTCGGATTAGATATTTTAGGTATAGGTATTACTTTAGATATTTTCCACATATCCGGAAATATACACGATGTGAGACAGCAATTCATTATAAATGTGATATGATTAGTAAGGGGTTCTCTAATAACAGTAGCATTTTCCGTGATATAGTGTCATGACCAGCTGCCTCTGTTCTGATAGCTTTGATACACGTAGATATTTCATCTGTAGTTACTGACCGAAATTCAAGGGTTTCATCAGGGTTATTAAAAGGCCCAATTTTATATTCATGTAATAAATTCACCTGAAATTGAGTTCTGTCTACTTTAGGGAGGTTCGTTGATTTCATGGGGCTTATTCAAATATTGCGGAATAGCGTTATTAATTTTATTATGACTCATGTTTGACGTAATCGTTGCAAGGTCAATTTGGTATCCTTTTGCCTAAGCAAATAATCTTTTTTTCGCGATGCGCAGCATAGTGAGAGTAAAAGCCCACAAGAATTATAAATTGATTACAATTTGATGCTATATAGGTTCAAAAACGCCTTATTTTCTATCTCAAGGTCGGCCAAAGATATTTCAAGATATTATACATTGCTTCCCAAAGTGGTCTATATCGACCCCGAGGTGTCTATGACAACCTGCAAGGGGTCTACGTCAGCGAAAAAAAAATTGGGGGTCCATGAAATGAATATGGGGGTCCACAATAGTCGATCTCAACACATACACTGACAGTACCTATTTACTTACATCATACTATCTTATAATATAAAAACATATACATTATTTATAAAAGTACCTGTGAAGTAAAAAATTTATTATACATGTTTATAAAATTGTGTAAGTTGTAGGATGTTGGTATTCGCTTTGTGGTCGCAATACATTTTGAACTTGTGAAAACCTGAGAGTCGCAGTCTCAGAGCTTCGCTACCTTGCACTGACTTGTTCAATTCGTCACTCTATAAATACGAATGTGGGACAAATACGTTTATTCGTTTCCTGAATCTTGAAAAAGAAAGTGCTAAGAAAATATTTTAAATCATATAAACAGATAGTATATCACACAAATTATAGTGAGTCAGTGTTATTTTGTTTGAGAGTGCTGGAGAAAAGTAAGTACATTATTTTTTATTAAATTTTAGTTTTGTACTCGTAGTTAGCAAAGATAGATAAATTACGCCAATCATGACTTTAGTTATTAGTAGTTAAATATTCAATCATGCAAAATTACACGAGTACTCCTCAATAGTTTCTTTTTGAAAGTTTTAGCAATCGGTAATATAATTACAGTGCAATATACGTAATTCGAGCTAATTGTTGCAAGAAGATGTTCGAATTATGGAATGTTTTCGGAAAAATCAAAAAATGTTTTTAATATACAGCTGCTCGATTTTCTGTCTTATTTAAATAATTTAATTTTGCCCACAGATGACTGATGCCATGTCCGAATCTAAAAAGAAATGTAGACAGTACAGTGTTGATTATTTGAAATTTGGCTTCATTCCATCATTGCCGGACAAACAATCGCCTATGTGCCTTTTATGCAACAAAGTTTTGGGCAATGACGCTATGAAACCATCTAAACTGCAAGATCAACTGAGAAGATGCCACCCTGATAAAACAGAGAAAGATTTGAAATACTTTCAAACACTCAAAGATAAATTTCAGAAGAGACCTACACTGGACAGAATGTTCGCTTCGACGTCTCAAAGAAATGATGATGGTTTGCGGGTGTCTTACAGTATCTCGTTACTTATGGCAAAATCCGGAAAACCGCATACTATCGGAGAGAAGTTAATTTTGCCAGCCGTTGAAGAGGTTTTAAAAACTGTTCTACACAAACCTGCATCTGATATCATTAAAAGAATTCCCTTAAGCAACAATACTGTTGAAAGATGTATTGATGAAATGAGTTCTGAGACTGAAAGCTTCTTATGTAATTATTTGCAAACGACCCATTTCTCTATACAACTGGACGAGTCAAGTTTACCTGATAATGCAGCATTATTATTGGCATATGTTCGTTTTACTATGAATCAAGAAATCTACGAAGAACTGCTCTTCGCAAGAACTTTGATAACCGACACTAAAGGTGAATCAATATTTCATGTTTTAAAGGATTACTTCATTGAAAAAGCAATTCCTTTATCAAATATAATATCAGTAGCTACAGATGGAGCACCTGCCATGGTTGGACGTTATCGTGGATTTATAAGCTATTTAAAACAAAATGAGTCGGGGGTGTTAGCAATTCATTGCGTCATCCATCGACAACATTTAGTTGCTAAAAATTTGAGTGTTAGATTGCATGAATCACTTCATTTAGTCATTGATGCAGTAAACCGAATCCGAAGCAACACTTTCATCAATTACTTCTTCACACTGAAGTTCGCTGGCTGTCGAAAGGCTTATGTTTGACAAGATTTTTTGCACTTTTTGAGACTATTTTAGAATTTCTGGATACTAAAGATAAAATTTTAAAAGTAAATTTAATGAAGAGGAAAACAGACATCGCCTATTTAACAGATCTGTTTACAAAATTTAATATGGTTAATTTGCAATTACAAGGCGACAGTTTAAAGTTGATTAAAACAAAGTCCATCTTATCAGCGTTTCTTGCCAGAGTTAAACTAATGAAGCAAAATATTGAACAAGGCGAATTTTCTCAGTTCCCCAATTTGTTTCAACATTTAAATGCCCTCTATTCAGATTTTGAATCTAGGTTTGAGGATATTTTGACTATGGTAATACCACCGTGGATAATTAATCCATATGGTGACATATAAGAAACTAATGTTATAATACAAGAGGGACTGACTGAACTAAGTACAAACGAAGTACTTAAGGTTCAGTTTAAAAACGGATATCAGCAATTCTGGCTGCAAAACAACATACCCGTTACTTATCCCGTATTATGGAATATAGCGAGGAAATTTTTAATTTCCTTTCCATCGTCATACCTAGAGGAAAGGGGGTTCAGCGCTGTTACCAATCTCCTAACGAAAAAAAGAAACAGACTGGACATCCTTAGCCGAGGAGATTTAAGATTAACCCTTACAAAATTGACGCCAAATGTTGATAATTTATTATTAAAGCATCAGGTTCTTCCTTCTCACTAAAAATATTGACTTATTGCTTATGTAATTTTTATTTATAGTTTATTTTATGTTTATTGGTGTCTGACCAATAAATGCCCGCATTGGGAATAAGTGCCCGCATTGATTTTTTTAAAGAACCCCCCTTTATAGAAAATATTTTTTTAAAAAAATTATTCTGAAAATTCAAGGATAGGTACACACTGAAATTCGTTAATTTTTTGCCTATTTTTAGATAACTTAAACGTATAAGAAGCTGAATTTAATCAAACTAACAGTGAAATTATTGTAGAACATACGTTTATGTTATTATTAATAAACGAACTCGCTTATTGTACTATTTTGAGTAAAAAACTTTTTTTTTATTATTTTTCGCATTTTTTAATTTTATCCCTCTTATTTTTTTTTTCAATGCGGGCACTTATTCCCAATGCGGGCACTTATTGGTCAGACACCTATTTATTTAATGTTACGTATATTTTACATAACAGATACAAAATTTTATTTTGAGTAGTTTTAATTTAAATTCAATTAATAAATGTATAAATTAACATGTGTTTTTACTTTAAGTTTTTAACACTAAACTTCACTACAGTTAGAAATTTACAGGAAATCAATATCAGGTAAGTCTACCCAACACGGAAAAACATGGCAAGGGGTCTACGACACAAAAAAGTTTGGGGCACTCTGTATAACAGCCGATTTCGATGCCCCAAATGACCTAAGTTTCATTGGATTGTCAGAGCGGGAGGCGACAATGGTAATTCTACCCTTCAAAAACCTATATGTTGAGTTTTAACATCAGAAAGTTTCCAAAGAAAAACTCGATTGTTAGATAGGTGACTCGGGCTCGGGTTTACGAATCATGTGTCAACAACCTATGAGGCCTCAAGTTCAGCCCAAGCTTACGTAATGTTTTTTCGACGAGTACGCTTCAAAATCACTAACGACTTGCGAAACATTCACATGGAATGAACATTTACGTACTTTCTAATTTGTGAACAACCAACAGGTCATCACATAGCGTGATGAGATTAAGTGAATATTGAATACATTTCAAGTAAAAACACAACGAAAAATTCATGTAATGCAAAAAGCGACAGGATATATCAAAACTAATTCTTATGAAAGATTATATTAATTTAACAGTATTTAGTCATTTTAATGTTTGTTTGTAATGTATGAATATTCTAGAATATGATAGATCATCAAGCAGCGTAATGTACAAGATTATTATACTCATTGTTTTTAAGGGCACAGGGATTCATCCTTCTGTGGGATCTTTGAGCTTATTTGTGTAAATTAGCTTATTATTATATATTGCATTGTTCCTTCAAAAGAATACCAACAAATATGTGACATAAAGAGAATCAACACAGAAACTAACAGATCTAAAATCTTTTATGACGTATTATAATTTTTAGTAAAATATTTGTACTTACCATATTTGTCGTACTCTCCCCCACTCCACTTCATTTTTGAGATCAATACCCGATCATATCCAACAAGTTTCCTATATTTTCACAGCGTCTTCCAGCATTAGATATATGTAAGTTATAAACTCCACACCGAGAGGTCGCTGCGTGTCCGAAAACGTGAATTCTACTCCTAAAACAAAAATAAAAAGTAAAATCATCTGATGCTTCAGAGATATGTAAAAACGAGATTACGAACTTAGAGCGATTCTTTTTTAGAGCAATCCTACCCAAATTTTTTTAGTATATCCTCAAATGATTAGAAACTTGACTTTTACGAAAAGCACTGAAAAAACCTTCACAAACATTTTTATGACTTTTAAGGATGGAAAACGTAACATGTGATACTCAATGCTCTTATGAGTAACTATGAAATTAATTTTACGTTTTCGATCTGTACTTTGATTCCCTCTTGGTGGTCGAAACGTAGATAAAAAGTAATTTCAAAATACGTGGTTTTATGTGGCCAGGTAAGAATAAATGATGATGAAAAATCTCAAAGGTGAAATTTTTGTGTACCTAACAAGTAAAAACTTAGCTTACATGGCGAATTCCAAAAAATCGGTGCACAATCTTTTCACCGCACAATCTAAGCAGATACTGAACCCGGTGAGATGAAACAACCCCAGTATATTTTTTCATCTGCCCTTAAAACAAGTTTGGCCGTTATTAAATCATATTGAAATGAAAACGCGGAATAACAAAAGTGGACACTGGTCAGAGAACTGGTCCAGCGAGTGCTAGATGCAGCTTCCCGAATTTATTTGGGAAACATCTGCCTGACGCTTAAGTCTTCCACGGCCAGCTGAGAAACTGGTTTTCCCAACGGATTTTTTCGGGAGCGCGGTTTGGTCACGTACTTGCATCCCTGCGGGTGGTATTTTTTGTCGCCAATCAGTCTAGAAGGCGAGTCCTAAATGTCGGGCCACCGTTACTGTTACAGGTGCGGGCCGCAATATACAGGGTGATGATTTTTTCAGTGAGGTGTCTAAAAAAATAATTACACAAATCTTAGCAAACGATCTGCTTCTTACTTGGAAAATATTTTCTACAGGGTGACTCATAGCTCCATGATGACTCATAAATACGTTTTTTTTTAAAAAGAAAGACCCACATTGTATAACAGATAATATACTGTAGGGATGTTCGAATTGTTGAGATATTGATCAATCTACGGAAAAAACTGCTATCTTTAACAACCTGCATCTTCGCAACTGTTATAGCTACAGTACTAAATTTATCGTCAAAAAATTGTATGATCCTATATTTATTTCCCATCTACTTACTTATTCATTTTTTCCGAAAGAAGGCAGAATGAACAATTTCTCAAAATTTTCACATCATTTGATTGACTCTCCTTTTCACAAGCTTTTTTTGAAATCAGGTTTTGGGGCTTTGTACGACTGGTTTTTGAGTTACCCATTTTGTAAATCAGATAACATCAAGGTAAATAAGCAAATGAAAAATATTACATTTCAAAATAAACATTTGCATTTGTAGTTTCTATTCTAAATATCGCAATTTTGGCATTTTTTCCAAAATTCATCTAATACTCATTATTCTCGAATATATATTTTTATGAGAGCATGGTCGCAACACTTTCTACCTCAAATCTAGATTCAAACAGTCCAAGACACAAAACATGCATAAGAATTAAAGTGTGGATTTCTACGTTCACATTTTTGAGACTCTTGTCAGTTTTGAGAAGGATCTTTGTAGCACTTGAAAATTGAGAGTGGTATGTTTTCAGGGGCAGGGAACTGTGCATGTCGCATCCTTGGTATCAGATTCATTATTCAGAAAGTTGTGACCCCGGTTGTATTACCTATCCGTTATAAACATTACCACACATATTTAGTACAATATGTACGTCTGTGACTTCAGCAACGTCCGCTACCCGGCAACACGCGACATCCTTTACCTGCCGAGGGTCCGATCTGAATTCCGCATTTCCATGGCCGGTTTATAGTAAACATACCAGAACTCACGACTGTTGATTCAAGGTGCACAATGAAGGACTTTTTTAATCAACAATATTGTTTCTCACTGATACTTAGTTTACTCTACGGTCTTATGTCCAAAGGTGATAAATCTGGCGATCTTGGGGGCCATTCGATGGCACCCCTTCTACCAATCCATCGATCTGGAAACGTCTGATCTAAGGATTGTCGAACACGTAATGCGTAATGTGGTGGGGCACCATCCTGTTGGAACATCAACGTATTCGCAATGTACCGCCGATCATTCTGATTTTCAATTATGGCTGTTAATGCAGGATCTATGGCGTCTTCCAGTAATTAATAATAATAATAATAATCCGGCTTTATTTATACAAAGGATAAAAAGGCGAAGTGTAGCTAAAAAGCGTTTTTCAACTTAACCCAACAAATATTTATGTATATTTTCTAATCCCAATGAAAACAAGAGTTAAAAAACACCTGTAACGAGTCCTTATTCATGGCCATGGTCCACTTACTGGCCAATGAAATCAGAGATAAAATTCTTCAATCTTTTTTTGAAAT